CTAGGCATAATTTATGCTTGAAATACACCTTAATTAATGCGTATCATATTGTAAACTTTAGATATTAAACTTTCATTCTATACCCAAAAGGATCACATGTCAACTGTTTTTACTAATGTTGACCTTCACCCTTTGTTGTGGCTTCCGTAGAATAAAGAGCTCCAAAAGTTTTTTTTATTCTACAACATTGATAATAACGCAAAAAATACATATTGTACATATTGTACATGAGATTTCATGCCAAATTGGTAAATTAAAATGTTTCTTTCTTTTAATAAACAAAAGAAATGTATAAATTATTAAGTGATAAGTACATTATTAGTTCTTGATATTCATCATATTTATTTTGGAGGGGGGGGGGGAGGGATTGATGATAAAAACAACGTGAATTTAGTTTTTTGTCAGACATTGAATTTTTATCTTGCCCCTTTAAGACGATAAAATTGAACTGGTATTCCTTGTTAACAGGCAAGGAATTATCAAAATATGATCGTTAAAGCCTAACAAATGATTTCATATCCACACGATTTATTCGGAATATATAAAATAATGGGATTATTCCTATGCATTTTTTATTGCGACAAATATTACGCAAAAATTATCATGAATTTAACAAAGTCAAGACAGCGTGAACAGGGCAGTTAAATCAGCCAGAGTATATCATTTTTTTCTGATCTCCTTGACAAAATTTTGACTTTATATACATTCCATTTCAAGATGTCACTAATTCTATTTTTGCAATTTTAAGGTATAACACAACAACATGAGGCGGTCACAAGTTTCCGTATATTTGTCTTTGGTCTTTCTAATAAACAATACTAATCAAAGGCATAACACAAAAAACTAGTATGCTGTTGTTCCATAAAATCTTTATCAGGCACACTTCAAACAAATCTGATCGACTCGCTTCTGTATATTTCCTATAAATAATGGTCTATTCTTTACTTAGATATATCAACCCTTTAGATCAATTTTTATCTCGTTATAACGAGATAATTATCTCGTTATAACGAGATAACTAACTCGTTATAACGAGATAATTAACTCGTTATAACGATATAATTATCTCGTTATAACTAGATAACTAACTCGTTATAACGAGATAATTATCTCGTTATAACGAGATAACTAACTCGTTATAACGAGATAACTAACTCGTTATAACGAGATAACTAACTCGTTATAACGAGATACCAACTCGTTATAACGAGATAACTAACTCGTTATAACGAGATAACTAACTCATTATAACGAGATACCAACTCGTTATAACGAGATAACTAACTCGTTATAACGAGATAACTAACTCATTATAACGAGATACCAACTCGTTATAACGAGATAAATAACTCGTTATAACGAGATAACTATTTCGTTATAACGAGATAATTAACTCGTTATAACGAGATACTAACTCGTTATAACGAGATACTAACTCGTTATTACGAGATAATTATCTCGTTATAACGAGTTAAATATTTTTTTTGTCTTGTCAAAAATGAGCCTATCCGGCTTTCGTAATATTCTAAATATAGTGGACATTTTAATTGTTAAAGACACGTTCTAAACAAAGCGAACACATTGGTAATTGTTACAAACAAGTTCTGAATAAAGTGGATCCATTTGTAGTTTTTACAAAAACATTCTCAATATAGTGGATTCATTGGTTATTGTTACAGACATGTTCTAAATATAGTGTACCATTTGGTAATTGTTACAGACTCTAAATATTGTTATTTGGTAACACCCTACTTTACATTATAAGAGAGATGTAAAGTGGGGTATTTTTTGTATGGAATAATTATTTTGAGGTTGTTTTTTCTCTCTCGATTTTTCCTTTGTATACATGATAAATAAGTGTTTATTTATTTAAACATATTTTATTGGAACATAATCAATAGGATTGGACACAAGTTTTACCAACTTAGAATTGTCCTCTCCAACACAAACAAAATGACATATACATATACACGTGATGTACAACAAACAAATGCACAATACAAAAAAGTGCAGGGAAATAAGAAAAGGGTGGGGGTGCAAAGAAAGAAAGGAAAGGGGTTGTAATAGATACAGAATGGTTACGCTGGTTATTCATAAAAATCTTTTCGATTTCTTAATATATTTGTGTACGGTTTTATGTTCGTATTATTTTGTTGTCCGAAGTTTGAGTCCCCAAATAGAATTGTGTCAAGGTCTATTGTTCCTTTTTTATTTCTTATAGTGTGAAATAATTCTGCTCTTATTTCAGCATAATTCTTACAATACAAAAAAAAGTGTTCAGTGTTTTCATTGGTATATCAACAGGAACACCGAGTGTTATCTGAAAGCCTGACTTTAAACAGGTCTGACTTAAGGAGACTCACATTGTGTCTCATTCTATTTAGAATTGAGTTTGTTTTCTTTTCACCAAGAGAAAAATATTTTGGGGGAGATTCACATTTAAGAAGTCTTGTTTTAAAGCATTTACAGTTTCAAGATTTCTGATTTCAGAGGGCAAGGCGTTCCATAATGATATTGTAGATGGAAAGAAGGAATTTTTAAGGACCCTCTCTACACCAGTGCAAAATATTTTTTGGACATTGAGAAAAATATATTTATAAAGGTGTCAATAAAGCTTTTCTATTTGATTTTCACTATATAGTACACAGGCAACTTTGCCACACATGATCCACATATGTGCATCATATGTGAATCATATGATTGGTTTCATATGAGAATCATAAAAAAAGGGCATCATATGTGAATCATATGAAGCAAATCATATGAGTCACATATAATTCACATATGTGACTCATATGAAAATAACTTCATATGATTTACACATGAAAAGTTTAAGTGTGTTTCAAGTCATTTACATATGAGAATCATATGAAAGGGGCATCATATGTATATCATATGAAACATTTATGTGGTTTTATTTTTCATATTTATCAAAAGGAAATACACACTTGTACACATTGAAAATCAGGTATTTCTGCTTTAGATGAAATTTCAGTACATTCCAATGATCTGTTAAATATCTGTGAATATTTGATAATGCTTGCACAATTTTCCAAAAGTATTTTCATCAACAGAAATAACTAATTTCACACAGTGCACACTTTAAACAAGAAAGTATACAAAAAAGTCAGTAGCATTTGTCGATACATGTATTTTACATATTCTAAAATGAGTACAAATTATTTGAAAGGATTTTAGCAAAATGATCAAGGAGATGAACATGTATACATATACCAATGAATAACATAATTAGATCATGTACTTGTATAAAAATACTACATGACATGGAAGTGTCCTTAGCAAACTTGAAATATGTGCAATAACATTTGTCAATATATGAAATCTCTATTGCAAAATTTATGGCAAATCATAAGTAATTCAGATTACATGTACCTACAGCATATTTAACACATAAATGAGTATGCAATCACAAAGGATGGTGTCTCAATCTAACAAATGAAGATACATATATATAGTTTTTCATAAAAATGTTCATGTATTTATGCATAAAGCATGAAATATAAAATGTGAATACATTACAATGAGATTGTACAATCAAAATGATATTCCATTATACATGTAAATATAGAAAGCCTTGCATGTCAAAGTCTGACAAGATTAAGTACATTCTCCTCATTCATATTTATTCCAGATATTTCTTCTTTCTCTGTCAACTTTTCCCACTTGTCCTCCCTCTGATCTTCCATCACCATATTGAAGACTCTTTGAACTGTACCCAAAATACAAATCCACCAATGTCCCCTTCCTGAACAATTTGTTTGTCGCACAGAATAATCTCTAAAAATTATTTTTAAAATAATTACCAATAAAATAACTACAAGAGGTCCAGGGACCACATTGTTCACCTGAGCAACAATGGCAAACTCACTTAACTCTGACACAAGTGGCTTTTGTGAAATACAATACAAAAAAGTGCTGGAATAAATTGCAAAAGTATTTTTTTGATATTTGTTCCATACTGATCAAATTTACTCCTTAGGCCCCACTATTGTAGCAATGTAGAATTTGTTAAAAAGACTTAATTTTTTCCTATACACAAGTATAAATTACTATGTAAAACTTTGCAACCGTTCAGGGGTCCCACTGGTGGTTCAGTGGTCATTGTTTCAACAAACTTGAAACAACACTGGATAGGGATGTTTGCAAAATAATATCACAAATTGTAGTGTGGTAGTTCTTGAAAACCAGATTTTTAAAGACTTTACCCTATATAATCTATAGGTTGAACTTTGAACCCCTACTGGTACCTTACTATTATTCCTCTTTGCCAAGTTCAGTTGAAATTAGTCCAGTGGTTCTGGAGAAGAAGACATAAATGTGAAAAGTTTATGCCAACAACGATGATGATGGACAACAGACAATTTTGATCAGAAAACTTCACTTGAGCCTTTGGCTCTGATGAGCTAAAAACAAATACTTTCATTTAAAATGAAAGTACTTGTTTTTAGCTCATCTGAGCTGAAGGCTCAAGTGATCATTTTAAAGATGAATATGATTGGAAAAATTGTTTGTGACATCCAACAAACATGAACTAATTTTCTATCATTGATCATATTTACCAGCAAAGATGTCCTTCCAATAAACAAATATAAATCTCAAAATTTTAACATCAATATTTTTACATTTTTAAAATGTTGACTGCTTACTGTATTCATACTAGCATCATTCTAGCATCAGTGTGAAGTATTCCCTCTCTGGTTAGCATAATTGTAGGAGGAAGGAAACATTTTCATCGATAATTATGTAGAGACTTAATGGAGGGACCTTCTATACATCAACTTCTTTGTTACACATCAGCTAAAACATTTTTTTCTTAACAATTCAATTCACAATGTATAACTTACATGGAATGCAGTGCAAAATATTGTTTTGATGAGGTAATTCAGTTTAGCAATAGACTTTGATACTTCTTAGGATGATATGTAAATATATAAATAAAATGTGTGCACACCTTTACTCTGATCTGATTTCTGTAATATGTGAATTCAGTGGATCCAAAGCTAGACATAACCCCCATAACATTTCATGTCCAGCCAGCCTTCTTTGCCAGATTACGGAGCATCTCCTGAATGAATAAAGCAATGCATTTTTCACTTATTTTTATATACATCATACACATACTAAGATTCTTCAAGAAAAAATGGTTCACTATTATATACACATTGACTATAAACTTTATTAGTTTCATATAATATGACATACATGCTCAGTGCATCTACTTAAATGCTCAATTCTTGCAAAATAGTTAGCTAGCATTTATATTCATCATACCTGTACTTCTGTATCCTTAAAAGAAATCCAGGGGTTGATGCTTATAAAATCTTTCTTTAAGCCAATTGACATTCTCTCTGTAAATTTTTAATTTATATAAAAAAAGAAAATAATTGATATAATATATATACTCCATTTCTGCTTGATGCAGACCCCCAAATCATTAACCAAAGTACATGAAAATGTGACAGTGATACATTTATATGATAAAACTACCGGTAATGTTTTAAAACAGTTGTTGACACCCTATATAATTTCCAAGACATTTATTTCACTTTTGGAAGACATGCTTCATAATAAAATCATAAAATTTTAAAAGCAATAACTTTTTTTCAAAAATTTTGACAATTGAATTTGGAATGTTCAAATAGTATATATTAATTCAAATTGCAAAAAATTAAATAGATTCGGATACAAATGTATAATTTTTGGACCAAAAAATCTACAGACAAACAAACAGGCAGAGAAACAGACATTGTGATTCTAGTATATCCCAAAACTTTGTTGGGAAAAATATAACAAAGTTTATTATACAGGGTGTACTTACCTATTTTGAAATAAGCCTAGGATATTTAAGACAGGTGTCTGTTATGAGAGAGGCTGACTGTGTATTGAACCTATATAAATTATAAAACAAATATTCACACAGTAAATAATTTCTAGGCATATATCTAATCCAACTAAAAGTTAAAAGAAACTACAAAAGAGAGCGAGTACAAGTCTTTAGGTTAAATTCTCTAGTGTTGAAAAAAAAATCTATAAATGTCAGTTTATATACATGTAAATAATCAAATGAAATTAGCTAATGTACTTTCAATACACATGTAATAGTACCTTGAATGTCTGATTAAGCTAAAAGTCATTATCCCCCATAAGATATTGTATAGTTTTACATTTTTTCATAGTTTTTATAGCCAGCAAGTTGCATAATCTATGCCTTACATATTTTCATATGTTTTCATACTTATATACATATTTCATAAGTGTGCTGGATTTGTTCTGTAGAAAAAAAGAGTTGGATTAATTTAGTTTTTGATATATGTTTAAGTCATTACTTATATATACTGTGATGATTATTGTATATATTTAAGGAATAACTGTCTTATTTTTTGGATTCATGATGTGATCAATCGAGTGGCTTGCGTGATAATTTGCATAAACGCCGAAGGCGTTTATGCATAAAATTATCACGCAAGCCAATCGATTGATCATCGTCATGAATCCAAAAAATCTGACAGTTATTCCTTATATTTACATGCTCCTGATTCTGCAAAGGCGAAGGCGTTTATGCATAAAATTATCACGCAAGCCAATCGATTGATCATCGTCATGAATCTAAAAAATCTGACAGTTATTCCTTATATTTACATGCTCCTGATTCTGCAAATTCCCGTGCTTATAGCCCCGCTTCTGTCTCTATTTGTTCCGCCCCGCACGTGATTTTTTTTAACCGCGCCTATCGATGAACCAGTAGATTTATGTAGAAATAAAGTATTTTTACAATTTGTAATTTTATCTCGGACAAAGACATTGGAAATGTAAATATTTATCTTTACCTGCATTGTGATCATGCATCGCCTGCCAAACCAGCTTTGGGTTTAAATCGTCAGTCAAATCAGCTTTGTGTTCAATCGTCAGTCTAATCAGCTTTGGGGTTCTTTGAAAAAAAAAGAATACAAAATCAGCACTGTGACACTAACTCCAGTTCCTATATACATTATTTAAAACACATTTCTCATTAATTTGATGAAAGAACCGAATGCATAACGATATCAACAAACATTTTACGTTAACTGCTATACAAGGTTTCTACTTTCACTTTCATATCGAATATAGCTATTAACAAAAGGGAAACAAATTAGAAAAATTAGTGATGCTAAGTGGCCTTAACATTCATCGTTAACAAATCCAAAATTACTTATTGATCACTAGATTTATCGGCTTTTTACGAACGGGATTAATTTAACAATTACATACAAGTGATGAGAGTACTAGAAAGTTTATACGGATCTGTAACCGTAATGAAATGATCTAAACACAATGAACTAGCCTTTAAAAAGTCTTTTAAAACGTATCTGAGATCACTTACTTTTTCCAACACCCAACTCTTCTGCTGCAGTAGTGACGTCAAACATGACGTACACTTTCATCTGATAAAAACCGAAACCGGTCCGTAAATAAAATGTGGAATGATTTTAATTTTACTCATAAAATAAACCCAACCATAACGGTTTTTGGATAAAATACAAATTGATTTATTCTTGATGAATTTTGTTTTTCAAGAAAGCAAATTTTGAATTTTTTGAAAGGATTTTTTTTTTGGGGGGGGGGGAGGTAACAGTACTTATTCCCTTTTTATCCAAGCTTCTTAAGGAAAGGAACATCTTGATTCTTTTGAAGAAATATACATTTTAATTTACACATCTTGGTATATGTTATTGAAATTATTTTTTAATCATGCAGTCTACTTGCAGGGCTCTCGATTCTCTATATTTGGGGCCGTTCAAAGGCCCCATTCCCAATTCAAAAAAGGTATCTTTTTTCCCAATTGAATGTGTGAATTTTCCCAATCTGTCACTTCCCCAAATATTAAAAGAACATTTAGTAAGATATGTAGTTACTAGACCTGTAATTCATATTTCTCTATATTACAAAACAGAAATTTAGTTGATAACAACCACCAGAAACTCAATATATCATGAATATAATGTATAATGTCTGGTTATGATTTTCCCAAAATACCCCAAAAGGTCGCTAATTTTCCCAATTTTTACGGCCCCGGCCCCAGTCCCAAAAAGTGGTGTGAGAGCCCTGACTTGTTAAAATATAACACCAACTTATTCATATTAAGCTTTTAATATGAAATTATTCAAGTGTTAACTGATTAACATTGAATAAACGCATTTTTTTTATCCCATTGAATTAAAATAAAAATGAATTTTACCTGTTTATAACAAGGACAATTAAATAAACACACACAGATCTGTTTCATATGATTCTCATATGATCATTCTCAAAGTATGCATATGATTCTCATATGCAGGGTCTTTCATATGTGTATCATATGTATATTGCTTCATATGATTTACATATGCGTATTCATATGATCCACATATGATTTGCCACATATGATACTCATATGATTGAATATACATATGATTCTCATATGCTCCTCATATGATCCTCATATGAAAGGCAATGCATATGTGGATCATATGTGGCGAAATTGCCTATGTACCTGGCATTTACCCCCTAGGAAAAATGCTCAAACACAACACAGTAACAGTGAATAGAAATCACTGTTGTTTACCGTCATAGAAAAAATACATGTAAATAACATGTTCAATTAATTTATCTTGGCCTTTTAAAATGTTAAGAATACTTGAATTGATTACAAATTGAGTAATATACTGTAAATTTCTATTTTTTAGAATTTAAATCTAAGGGCAGATCACTCTAACTGCAGAAAAATACCCTAGAATCAGAACTCTTTAGTGTGCAGTGTAGAGAGGGTTCTTAAAAAAGTTCGTTCTACATTTGGGTATAACAATATTATTACAATTTCGTTAATCATACTGGGTTATTTCTGAGACTTCAGGAGGTAATAGATTCGATAAATAGTCTGGCGCAAGACCATGTTTTATTTTAAACATTAAACATAACTTTCTCTTTTCTCGTCTATAAGCAAGTGTTTCCCATCCTGTTTCATAATATAAAGAGTTACGGGGAGAGTAAATAGGAAGTCCAGTTACAATACGTGCAGCTTCTAATTGAAGTTTCTCTAGTCTTTCACAGTCAGCTGCAGAAATATTATCCCATACTTCTGATGCATATTCAAATAAGGGCCTAATAAATGTAATTTCAATTTTCTAAGAACTGCAATTTCTTTTGAAGCCTTTTTAATAATATTATCAATGCGGTTTGTCCATTTCCCAGAATTCGAAAACGTAAGTCCAAGATGACAGTGAGTAGAAGATGGAATGATTTCTTGACTGTCAAACTTAAAGCTTAGTTGATACTTCATCTTCACTACAGCCAAATATTAATATTTTAGTTTTTTCAGAATTAAATTTTACAAGCCAGTTTTTTGACCATTGGCTAATTTTTTTTAGATCATGGTTAGTAAGTTTTTTTTTTTTAAATCCTTCAAGTTTTTAGATGTGTTTGGCACAGATGTGTCATCTGCAAATAGTCTAGAGAGACCTGAGAGTCCATATGGTAGGTCATTTATATATACTAAAAAAAGTAAAGGTCCAAGAATAGAACCTTGGGGAACTCCTGCTTTCGTTCTTCCTACTGAAGAACCTGATTTAATTTTGACCTGCTGTGATCGACCAGTAAGATAATCATTTAACCAAACAAGAACTTCACCCACAAACCCGTATTTTTCTAATAATATTTGTATTTTAAACCTTTCAACCAAACCGTATCGAATGCCTTACTGATATCACAAAAAGCAAAACACGTGACTTCTTTATTGTCTAAAGCAATACAAATGTTATGATAAATTTCTATTAACTGGGTGACTGTTGAATGTCTACGCATAAATCCAGCTTGTAGGTTTTATAACAGTTTATGTGATACTAAATGATTATAAATGTATTTAAACATTACTCTTTCAAAGATTTTCCCCATGCAACTCAACAAGGAAATTGGTCTGTAATTTGATGGGTTTGATTTCTCTCCCTTTTTAAAGACAGGAATAACATTAGCATGTTTCCAAACACATGGAAATTTCCCGGTTTTCAGAGATTTATTGAACAGAATTTTTAAAGGGATTGCAATATCATTACTTATTTCTTTTATTAAAATATGACTAAAATTGTCGGGACCGGAGGCTTTTTTAGAATCTAAAATTTCGATAATATCGATAATTTCATTTTCGTCTATTGTGATATTGTCAAGCGTGACCTCTGTCCTTACTTGTGTAAATAATTTTCATATCCAAAGGAACAGGGTTTAGAGAAGGGGGGTATTTCCCTCTAATTATTCTTTGTTATCTAAATTACTCATGACTATAAAAGTGTGACTAGAGCAGGGGGAGCTTAATTTTGTTTTTGTTTTTTATCCTCTGTGTATTCTAGCTCAGAAGCAAGTCACAATTTACTCGAACACACTTGAAACCCCGAAATGGGAGCATGCAATAATTTTGAAAATTGATGATTTTAAAAAGAAATAAAATGTTTGGGTTCTTTCTTACGTTTCTATTTATATTTTTAAAAAAATATAGTCGTCCTGGCAACTTAACAAGTTTTAAATATCGATAAGACTGTTCCATAACAATATTTTGGGGTCTAGTTCAAGTGGTATAAAAAATTTTAATCCAAAACAATGCAAAGGCAAATCATGGGACAAAATAATTTGAAAGTCTAAAATAGAAATAACTGTCAAACAAATCAGTTAGTGCCGACCGCATTATTTATTTAACGTGTGACTCCATGCAACAAAATATATTAGCATCAAGACTTAGTCGAAATTTCTGCAATCATTCTGGGGGTGGTATGGAGGAGCTACTTTGTGAGAATTCCTCAGCAATTTTCTGCTGTACATAAACCTAACACATCTAAACATTGTGGTCATTTTATCGGGCTTACCTGTGCTGCTGGTGTCCAAGGAGAAAATTAGTCACAGGTGAGCTAAACGAATTAAATATGATCGGCAAAAATAGCACGATGTATAACCGCCTCTGATAATTCCCAAAATTTCCAAATCCTCTGATTAACTCATCATATTCCATTGTGATCCCTTAGTCAACAGATTCACAGTGTGCACTCTCTCAAATCCATTTTCATGTAGCTTTTTTTTTTTTTATAATCGAAACATTTAAATGCCCTTTAGGTTTTGTGGGTGGTAGCACTCTCCAATGACATTCAGATTTAAAAATGATACTAGTATATTCGTGTTCTAATTCTTGGAGTACTTATGTTAGGGGAATTAAATCCCGTATTGACTTATATGATATAATTATTTCAATACTGAAAAGTTAGACTTCTATCTGACGTATCCGTACACGGATACAGGCACATATACGAGTTGTCATATTGTAATTTTTGTATTTACTACCACCCGTTAAATTCAAAAATTACAATATGACATACGGATACGTCCGATAGAACAATGTCTAATGGACTGAATTTGTGAGTCATCAATGAGTAAATGGAGATGACATATTTGCCATACTTTTTTTCACCGTCTAATTTCATCTATTGAGCTTAAACTTTTCCAAACATTAATGAAGGCTCAGTCCAGTTCCAAAGGGCATAAAACGGGAAAATATGAAGGTAAAGTAATGTCATGTAAGCATCCCGATGAACCAAGATGCCTGTGTAGAGAAATTTGTGGTTGTTTTCCCTTTCATTAAAGGAGGGGGGGGGGAGGGTCATAACTTAGATAAATATTTATTTGGTATGCCACATACATTTGATACAATTCATTCTAGACGATTATAGTAAAATAGTTGTAATGCAAAAAAGTTGGAATAACTTTTTTTTTATCAAAATCCCTATTTCAAGAGAGTACTGTAATTCTACAGACAGTATGAATTTGCTCTATTGGTGTTACAATAAAAAAAAACAAAAACAAAAAAAAAAAAAAAAAAAAAAAAAACAAAAAAAACTTATAACGTAATCAAGACTTCATAAATTGTGAAGTATCAATCTACAATGGATTGAAAATGAAATATAGAATTTTACAATCAAAAGGGTAAAAACCAAATAATGACTTTTTTCATCCTATTTATATGTAACCTTACGAGGCTTTCGTATAAATAAGTAAGTACCAAAAACAAACAAACAAACAAAAAACAACAACAACAACAAAACAAAAAAAAAAACCCAAAACAAAACAAAGCAAAAAACAAAAAAACAAAACAAAACAAAACAAAACAAAAATCCATGTGAAATTTTTCCCCTTATATGATTATAGGTTCGAACCTTATTCTATCCTTTTTTTTTTTTAATTTTGATTGAAATTTTCATTTAAAGGCTGGGTCCCCGACCCTCTTTTTGTTGCGGTATACTAGTATTCGAACCCTCTCACGTCATGTACCCATCCCCCACTCCCAATCGTTATATTAATTTTTGGTTGACCGATCACTTTAAAATTACAAATTTTCATACAAATGCTTAAAACTTTTAAGCATTTGTATGAAAATTTTTAATTTTAAAGTGATCGGTCAACCAAAAAGTTAAAAGTTAACAGCAAAAACCCTTCTCTTTTGCTGTTAGGGAATAGTCGGAATGTCCCATGCCCCTCCCACGTACTTTAATTATATCTTTAGGCCTAAGTGGAATACGTTCTGGGTATTTGTGACCAAAAAGTAAAATACAAATAATTGAGATTATATCTCTTTTACATTTATATATCAATTCCCTTTTAAAATATGATTTTCTTGCATTTCTTATTTGTAAATGATATGTTTCTAAGTCTTGAAGATTTTAACCACATACATTTTTTTTTAATTAATAGTTAGTGTTTTTCATTTCCATGTCTAATTTTTTATTTTAAAAAAACTATAAGGTCAATGTGTCTCTTATTTACAATATATTATGCATCAATGAGCAATGAATCTTAAGCCTCCGAAATCTTTCATATTATTTTTGAAAAAGACAAAAAAGAGCTTTTATGTAGGTTTTTTTTTCATTGGTAAAATTCTATTTTCAAAATGAGATACTTTCAAGATCCATCAAACAAAATTTTGGTAGACAAAGCCATTGCATTTGTAATTAACATTTTTATAATATTCGCAGGAGTTGGCAGTTGTATCAGTAAAGTGGAGATATATAAAGAACAGATGAAGTTTTATTTTACTCGGGATCGGGGCTTAAAAACCTCTGTCATGTGACCTATATTCAGCAAATCAGATTTCACATGTTAATTTTGAACTCGGTGTTTGGCGCAAAGTTTAGAATACAGGTTACACGCATTTTAAAAAAGAATATTTTTTGGAGGTGAAATGGCTCATAAAAATATATATTACTCTGACAAATACACAGATGAGCAGTATGAGTATAGGTAAGTGGTGCCTTCCTGATTGTAAAACATAAAGATGTGTCTGGACAGGACACGTTCGAATTTCCTCTAACATTATTCATGTCAGTACATAAAGACTTGGGTAAAGATCTTTTAAGGGTCAAAATTATTTTCAAAGCGATTTCAAAATTCTTGGAAATTACTGAACATCTTGTTCAAACAGTCAGTTCTTCTTAGAGTCTATATAACAATACTTGGTGATCTTGTTCGGTTGTACAGTGTTTACGGTATTCTCTTTAGAGAAGTGGACAGGCTTTCGCCTACATCCACTTCTTTTCGCAAGCCTTCATGTTTTGATTCTGGAAAACGTGTAAATTTCGAACCGGTGACGACCTACACTTCAACTGACATTTCGTCTAAAATACGTCTGAATGTACGTAATAGACGTGTTATATTAACAATTTTAACATAAATACATTTTACAGCTAGTGGATTATAAAGGTTAAATAAACAATATACAAAATGATATATACAGAGTTTATATAACTAAATTATTCTACATTGCAAATCGTTTGAAATATTGCAGCTCTTGACATACATGGACATGACTGCGTTTGTTGTCAATTCTGTGATGGAATGAGATTGGATAACAAAAGATAATAAATATTTTTTAATTTTATTCTGATCATTAATATTTTGTTTAACATATGAAAGTGATCATGAATACCAAATAATATGGTTAACATGATGAAACGATCCCTATTGCAGAGTGAAGTGATCCGCAACTGCAGATTAACGGTGGGTTCATAATGTTTTTTTTTTGTTATAAATATACAGGTTTAATAGATATAAGTGTCTTATATATGGTGAAGAAGAACATATAACAAGTAAACATTTTATGAGGTCCAGTAAGTTCCTTACTCATCTTATATATAACAGAAAGCACAACTCTTCTTAAAAAGCACATGTAAAACTGTCAAAACACCGATCGTCGTCTTTAGGGCGCTTTATTTCTGACGCAACAAAGAAGCGAAATCGTGCATGGTAAAGTTCCATTTTTTACTGGAAGTAGTATTTCCCCCTATTCTTCGCGTGTGATATACCGATAACAAATTTTCTTCAACAATTATTTTTTTAAAGAATTATTAAACTAAAAAGTGATCCGGAACTACCGATGATGTGGAACTACCGTAAGCACTGTAGTTAAAATAATTGAACTGTGTCTCGGGACAAGCCCTCACCACAGTTAGAACACGTCCCATATACTTGCAATGAATCAAATCAGAGCGGATCTGCTCTGAAATGATTTTGAAGTAAACAAAAGGAGTTGCACTGAAAATAACTACCATGTTAATCATAACAAACCTTTTTGAGATTGTATTATTCTCTTCAGAGAAGTGGACAGGCTTTCGCCTACATCAAGGTAGATGAAGGGGAAAGCCTGTCGACTTCTCTGTAGAGAATAAGATTGTATATGCCTTTGTACCTAAAAAATAATCCATATAAAGAAGAAAATTCAACTTGTTTTCTCAACATTTTTTCTCCCTTCAAATTTACATGCCATATTGACATTCGGAACTCTCTGGATTGATCATAGTAAATGCACTGACTTTGAGTTATCGCCTGCGTTTATTTTGCTAAATTTCCAGTACACGGGACGAATTCTATCAATAAACCGGGTCCATAGAACAATATCATTTCAACGATAGAATGTTCTATCTAGTTTGGTTGTTGTGCTACAGGGCTGAAATATTGCCTCAACATTAACCCGTTAACTTAAAATTAAATACAAACTAGACCAGTCAGAGTAGTATCTGAAAATTTGGAATGACTTTACTATAACGTTCCCCAGAAAATAGAGTGTCGCCGTAGTCGACTTCAGCAGGTCCAGTACAATCAGTACATTTAGCTACGTAGCTAGAATTACCTACCGTAGGCTCCGTAGCTTTATTTAGATATTTCAGGTAGCTTTTTTTTCAGCTATTTCAATCCAACTTTTCACAGTTTTGCTTTTTATTTACGGTAAGAAAGATAAAAAATCGCAACTAAATGTCTACTAATATTTTTACTAGGGATTATTTAAAAAGCAATCCAAAGCAGAGATAGTTCAAACACTATAGCATATGAACACTTTTAAGCAAAAGATGTATTTCCATTGTTCGAGTAACTGACACCACCTTGTGTGCGGTGATTCATGGATAAGTATGATAACTTTACATTGTGCTGAATAATTACCAGTCAATTATCATGTTAACCAAAACTTTTTTCCTTTGTTATATATTCAAGAAGTAACTGTTTGGTCACAAATTAACTGTTGTATATATTCCCAAAACTTTTAGAACTTTGATTGCAATTGCACAGAAAGACACATCTTCAACATGTTCAAGAGTGATTTTTATGCCCCGCCATGAATATGGCCGGGCATATAGTGTTTGTCATGTCCGTCTTCCGTCCTTCCGTCCTTCTGTCCTTCCGTCTGTCCTTCCGTCACACTTTGCGTTTAGCTCTGTTCAAAGCTCAGTTTCAAAGAAACTATCCAAGATATTTTTATCAAACTTCATATGCTGATAGATTTTGATGAGGGCTATGCAACTGCATCAACATTTTTTGACCTTGACCTTTCCTTTGACCTTGACCTCACTTTTCTTAAATTAGTGTTTAGCTCAGTTTTAAAGATACCATTCAAGATAGTGTAATGAAACTTCATATGTTGATACCTACTGACGTAAGCTATTCAACTGCATCAACATTTTTTGACCTTGACCTTTCTTTTGACCTTGACCTCACTTTTCTTAAATTAGTGTTTAGCTCAGTTTTAAAGATACTATTCAAGAAAGTGTAATCAAACTTCATATGTTGATACCTACTGATGTAAGCTATTCAACTGCATCAACATTTTTTGACCTTGACCTTACTTTTGACCTTGACCTCACTTTTCTTAAATTGGTGTTTAGCTCAGTTTTAAAGATACCATTCAAGATAGTGTAATCAAACTTCATATGTTGATACATACTGATGTATGCTATTCAATTGCATCAACATTTTTTTGACCTTGACCTTTCTTTTGACATTGACCTCACTTTCCTTAAATTAGTGTTAAGCTCAGTTTTAATGAAACCATTCAAGATATTTTTAACAAACTTCATATCCTGATACATACTGATGTAACCTTTTCAACTGCATCAACATTTTTTGACCTTGACCTTTCCTCTGACCTTGACCTCACTTTTCTTAAATTAGTGTCAAACTTCATATGGTGATACATACCGATAAGAGCTATTCAACTGCATCAATATATTTTGACCTTGACCTTTTCTTTGACCTTGACCTCACTTTTCCTAAATTAGTGTTTAGCTCATTTTTAAAGAAACCATTCATAATATTTTCATCAAACTTCATATGCTTATACATACTGATGTAACGTTTTCAACTGCATCAACATTTTTTGACCTTGACCTTTCCTCTGACCTTGACCTCACTTTTCTTAAATTAGTGTCAAACTTCATATGCTGATACATACCGATGAGAGCTATTCAACTGCATCAATGTTTTTTGACCTTTACCTTTCCTTTGACCTTGACCTCACTTTTCTCAATTTGTGTTAAAATGTTGCATTACTAATATACCCTCGGCGGGGCATTCATGTCCTATGGACATATTTCTAGTTTCATGAATTGTTTTCAGATGAGTTCAAAGTTGAATGTTATCACTGCATCAGAGTGCGATTTTCTGCACAACCTGAGAAAAATGCTAATTTAATTAAAAAAAAGAAGTTTGATTTAGTAGCTAAATAAAGCTACTTCAGGTAGGTAAATAAAGCTATGTAGGTAATTCAAGCTATGTAGCTAAATCTAGTGATTGTACCAGACCTGTTCAGTGTATCGCCAACCCCCCCCCCCCCCCCCCCCAACTCCGTCACTACCCTAACTCCGTCACTTTCAGGAAACTCTGCACCGTTTGTAAACGAATGCGATTGTGACATCATTTTTTACACGCTGAAATTCTACAATCAAATGCCAAGAAATTATTACAGTCAAGTTCAAGAATGCGTCAAAAATAAATAACAATTACACGTGATCTATTGTATCTATCATATTTTATGTGAAATCAGTAAGTACTTATTCCTTTATGGGCTATTCCATCGATACCTCCGACATGCGTCAATATGCTCATTTTTACATGTCAGTAATATTTATGAAGGTCTTAACTGAAGGATTAATATGACACACCATATTGAATACTGCTAAAAATATTTTATTTTTTGTCTCAAATTGCCTTAATACGCTACATGTTGGGGATAACATAGCGTGACATTATTACATGTAAAATAAGTTATATTAACATTATTTTTTCTGTTGAAACTTTTCCTAAAAAACAATTTAATACTATTTTAAATCTTTGAAACTGATTTTTTATGTTTACAAGTTTAAGATGAAGGGAGAAAAAACTAAACTGGAAAAATTTTTCTAATTAACACGTTGACATGTTGTAGAGGGCCCTGGTGATAGAGTTAGGGTTCATATAAGCCCAATAACTGAATTTTTTAAAATATTTAATGCGCCAATTTTCATTTCAATGCGACTATGGCGCGTGGCGCAAGCCCTTCCCAATCACTGCATCTACTTACTTTTTATATAATTTCTCACAAGAAATATAAGACATGTCATTTATGGTTGTTAAAATATTGGCTTTGTATTATTCAGTATACTTTTGCATCTTGGACATGTTGGACTCTGATCAGACTAGGAATAAAGACGGTTGATTGACAGATGTTGAATCAAAGCCTTACTGACCAACTCGAACCACAATTTTCAGGTATTTCAGGGAACCCTGACTGTCCTAATCAACAGACATCTTTATTGATGCATTTTAAATTTGTTGTAGACATGTGATGTTACCCAAAGAAATTGCTAAACTGGTTCCCAATAAGCTGATGACAGAAACAGAATGGCGGAGTCTTGGTGTTCAGCAGAGCCAGGGCTGGATCCATTACATGAAACATGAACCAGGTAAACTCGATATATTATAAGGTCTAGCTCTTATGTAAGTCTGCTTGAGGTTTCAGTAGATGTCATAAATAATCTACCTCCTAGACATGTTACTAAGTCTTTTAACCAGGTGAACCAGTTTACAGCTTTTAAACTACTTAAATAAGAATTCATTTAAGATTACTGTCGAAAACCCCTAAGACATCAGTCAATCTCTTCTAATCATTATAAAATGCTTTAGAATTTCATTGAAATTGGTCACTTCAGTATTTGTGGTTTCCTACATTTACACTACAGGTACTTAGGTGCTTCAGAAATATAAGAGAGAATTGTTCTCATCTGATACAACAGTCTAAAAGTCAACCTTCTAAACCATCATTAAACATGTGCCAAAGGATTCTCTAATTATCTGCATATCATTCAGTAATGAATTGGTGACCTTACTTTTTCAGAACCCCACATTCTGATGTTCAGACGACCTTTGAACCCAAACCAGAAGTAGTCTCATCATCATCTTATATTTCATCTCAACAAACCCTGTAAATATTGCATAATTATCATATTGCCTAGAGGATATTTCTAACCCATTATTTAGGGCTTTACATTAACATTTTTTTTCATATTTGTCCAATTGGACAAGTAACTGTTAAATTTACTTGTTGGAACATAATTTTAACTTGTTTGAAAACTTTTCAATAAAGAACTATTTGACAGCTTAAAAAATAAAGTAAATTAAGATAGTCCAGTATATATAATATATTCACCGCATCTGTTTTACTATTTTTGAAATATAGCAATTTAGCAAATTATGAGTCTCTCCTTAAAATATTTTTTTGTTTGATGTACTCCAACCCACATTTTTCATGAAGGTTAGGTAGGTAATTTGACATTGATAATCGTCATTAACATCACAGACTTAGAAATTTATTGATGTTTTCATTACAATGTATCCCTGGAAATATAACATAAAGTATTGGAAAAAAATGATAGAGTAGGGATGATTTGAGGGTCGGTCCAAGTACATCAAACAAATCATTTTTTATTGTTGGCCTGAAATTAAATCTCCTGTCCTACATAAGTAGGTTATGTAAATTAAAAACAGAAAAATAGCAACAAGAAGAAATAGGTTCAGCAGCAAGGGTTAATTTGCCTTTTCCCTCCAACCCATTGTTTAACCTTTGTCTTCTTTTGTTACAAATTTCCTACCCAATAATAAAAATCTGATCTTCGTAAGATTGAAGTTCAAAACCTCCAAAGGAAATTCGGGATTTTTTTATGCTTTGATTCCAGGGGCCGGGGCCATCAAATTTGGGGAAAATAGCGATATTTGGTTGAAATTGGGAAAAATATCTTCATACAAGTAAATAGGAAAAAACAAGCAAACGTCAAATATTAAATCATTTTTCTTTATTATTTTATATAGTATGAAACTGGCTTAAACCAGCTTTAGTGAATATGAAATAATAGCGGCTGTTGAAGTTCAGAAGCTTAAAAATGGTAAAGCCGCAGGGTATGATAACTAGAGTTGGATACCGTTAAGGATGAAACGGTACAATACCATACCGGTATTTTTGAAAGGATACGGTATTTTTAACGATACGGTACTATACCTTGATGAATGAGAATAAGGGTTCATTTCATAACAAATATGCTTTCACCAATCATCAACCTCTCAATGTTATAACCTAAAATGAGCTTATAAACTATGTTATATTTCAACCTTTTAATAAATGAACAACAAAACAAATAAATTGAATCTCAAACAAATTAACTTGAATAGATACATAATCACAAGTATACGCAACTTCCATGGTTGCTAGGACCCATTTTGTTTGGTCGCACTAAACAATGAAACATTAGAAGATGGATAGAAATGCACATCACATTTTTGCGACATTTTGCCTTTTTAATTTACATTTATTATCAGTTTTTATTAATTAAATTAAAACATGATTAACTTTAATGTATTTAAATTCTTTTAATAAAAGAGATATACGTACTGATTTGGCAGTCGAAAGCAAGTGTCGTATAGTCATACTAAGCATCCATTTCGTTAATTAGCCTACCCTTTCAGTGTGCGGAGAATTCTATTTTAGCGAGTTCTAAATCATTTTGAATGTATTAAAATATTTCTAAGATTAAGAAATAGTACCGTTATTAGTACCGGTATTAAATGAAACGGTATTTTATCGGTCTTTTTGAAGTAACTATTCGGTACGGTATTGGTACCGAGTACCGGTATCCAACCCTAATGATAACATTGTAAATGAACATATTTATACAACATTGTCATCTTTTTTACCTTTATGTAAGTTCTTTATAAAAAAAATTTTGATAGTAGGTTTGTTCCAGATGAGTGGTTAATTGGTATTGTTAGACCAATTTTTAAGATAAAGGGTGGCCCAACCCAGCCTGAAAATTACTGTCTTAGGCAAACTGTAGAAACTGACATGATGCACGTTTATTTTTTAAATAATGATCCCAAGTTAAATTTTGAAACATCAATCCCGCTCTAAAAAGTATGCATGCAAACATCTGTAGTATTCCGAATAACTTCTCGGAACTCCTAGGATGGCTCGTATATCGCACATAGAGAACATAAACACCCTTTTGTCATTTTTGAAGTTTTTTTTTATTTTAATAATTTACAACTTACTATTTTCATATTGGGAATTTTTAGATATAATTTTGGGAAAACATGCACTTTTCAGCATTGGGAATGGGGTTGGATTTTGGCCCTGGAGAGACCCTAAAAAAATCCCTGAAATTTCAATCTCGATCGTGTTTGAAGACCACGGCCCTAATTTATTAGATGAGAATCAAAAATTAACTATAATTTATGCATTGCAAAAGTTGACAATTGGTTTTAGTTTTTTTAATTTTCAACTTAAAAAAATCACAGAAAATTAACTAGTCCAATCGGACAAGTGACCAGCAGTACTCACTTGTCCGTGAAAAGTTTTCACTGGTTTTGAACAAGCGAACAAATGTTAATGTAAAGCCCTGAATTATTATCTGCATGTCATATTCATTCAATGCAAGGTATTAAATATTTTTCTGATGAATTTAATATCAAGACATATTGTAAATGTTTTGCAGTGGTATCTGTAAAGAATGGAGGCATTCAAGGCAAGGAGAATCCCCCGCTCTGAGAAAAAACATTTTCTCAATTCTAAAAGTTCACAAAAAGTGTTTTATTGTAAAAAATATCTTTTACCCATTTGCTTCCTTTATTTTATTGAATGAATTATTAAGAAATAATTTATTTTTCACTCATGATTATAAGGTATGTGAAAAGGGGGGAATGAAATATATGGAGATAACGAACAGTGTTCAAGCTCAAAAGTCCATTAAACAATACAAAATAGGAGCAGAGCAAACACGGACCTCCAAAACATCAGAGGTGGGATCAGGTGCCATGGAGGAGTGAGCATTCCCTGCCGACCGGTCACACCCGCCGTGTGCTCCTTGTCATGATTGGGAAATAACGGAAAAATCTGTCAACAATTTAGTGTGTAAATAATGGCCTAACAACTAGTATGAAAAACGTCAGTCAGCATTTGATTCACTGATAAATTGTATTTGCTGACAAGGTCATTGTATCGACCATAGAACTTATGAAATGATGACTTTAAACAAGACTGCTGATATTCTTGTTTCATCAACTTGTTTGTCAATAATTTACCTCATTTTAGAAATTGTACATACGTAAAGCATGCTTTAAAAAGGGGGAAAAAGGAGAAAAAGGCTTCACACATGATTCGAACTTTCTCCTAAGCTCAGAGAATGTGTGAGAATGAATGTGTTAACCACTATGCTATGAAGTCTTCTTGTCTTAGATGTGTCCACAGTGATTTAAATAAACGAGTTTGTTGAAACATAATTTTTTCAGAAAAGTTCGATTTTCATATAGAATGGGTCCAGACTTCATTTTTTTGAAAGATGAAATAGATTTTACTTTTACTTTTCCGTCATTTAAACGTCGTTGAATAATGGAGACTTGACCCATTCATATTCAAAAATCATTTTTTATGGCTCAAATAAACCCATTTCCCACTAAATATGTTTAACTGTCAATTAAAAAAAAACAATATTACATTTTCAACAGTGAAATACTGTAATTTATTTATCGAATGAAAGTGATATTCTGACACAGTGTGAAAGGATATCAAAATGGTATTCTCACAGTGTGAGAATATCAGAAATGCGGCAAAACTTACGAATTTCCTTCCCTTCACAAAGACAGTTTTTAAAAAAAAATCCCTGGCCTGTTATTAGATAGAGTTAATGAGCCATCCTGACAGAGACTAATAGTTATACTGCCAAAGTTTTTCCAAATATGTCCTTAAAAATCCATGTTTACAATGTTTTTCAATCTCGCAATGGCTTAGCTATGACATCTAAACCGCTCAACTATGATGTCACAGCCTATGACACTGTGTTACAAAACGACAGAGGCAAAGGGAAAATCTAAGAAAATGTAATAAACAGAAAATTCAACGTTTTGTAGATGAATATGGAATTTATTTCACTCGTTTGACAGGACTTTTTTGATATTTTCACTCATGCTTCGCACTTGTGAAAATATAAAAAAAAATCCTGTCCCACTCGTGAAATAAATTCCCATTTTCATCTACAAAACATTGAATATCCTCTATTTATCAGTAAGCCATCCAATGAAATAAATGAATCAAATGTGTTGAAGATGACATTACCAAAAACATAATTTTAGAAAAATGAAACTTTTCCGTGAACTTTAAAAATTGAGAAACACATTATCTGAGAGCAGGGAATTGTCCTCACCTTGTACGCCCCCTTTCTTTATGAAGAACCTGAACATTACAGTATTTTTTTATTTGACTAAAACTTAAGATAGCATGATTATCTGCATGTTTAAAGAACAATGCTATACCTGTGCACCAGGCATAAGTTAATCTCACTGTTGTGCTGTCTTGGAGGGTTTGTGGACTTAATTGAAGCTGAAGCAGTATGCACTGTGCTTGCAAAAACTGTAATGGACATGTATACTTTATGTAGTAATGGTCATAAAAAACTTATTCTTCTTGGTTTTCTTTAAAAGCATGAGAAGTAGAGATGTTTACTAATATTGTTACAATACAATATGTATAAAGCAATATACAACACAATATGTATAAAGCAATATACAACACAGTATGTATAAAGCAATATACGTGTACAACACAATATGTATAAAGCAATATACAACACAATATGTATAAAGCAATATACAGTTGAACTTGAGTATCTCGAACATGGTGTGTTTACTAATACTGTTACAACACAATATGTATTATTAGTTATCCAGGTCCAATCAAGGGTGTACAGGAATTTACCCCGGGTTTTATTCCATACACCCTGAGGCCGAAGGGTGTATGGAATACAACCCGGGGTAAATCCCGTACACCCTTGATTGGACCTGGATAACGAATTTATTTCCTATGTACTCAAATAAATTCTTTTTAAAACAAGCTGTTGATAAGATTCACTACGTCCAACAATGCATCATGATGTCATGTTATTTGGTTTTTATCATAGAGAAACTGTGCATTATGACGTTACTTTTTTTACCCCCGGCTCAAGTCGGGTGTTCGGAAATTTACCCCCGACTTTGTAACCAATCAAAGCTCGTGTTACAAGCTACATAGGAAATAAAAAGCAATATACAGTTGAACTTCGGTATCTTGAAGTCAGATATCTCGAATATCATGGATACGTCGAAGTGAATGGGAAGTCCTTACCACTTATTTCTTATGTATTTTACCCTTGATATCTCGAACCCTCAGATATCTCAAAGTTTTTTATTGGTCCCATTGAGTTAGAGATAATGAGGTTTGATTGTATATCTTTTTCTGGAATTTACAATTTACAGCAGAGAAGTGAACTAAGAACAAAACATGTTAAAAAAAAAAAAATTGTAAAATATTTGTGTGCTATCTTTAGTAAGCGAGTGTTTCTGATAATCCCAATAAACCAGTGATCTATTGTGCCATTAGATAGATCAGGATTGTTTATGTCTTGTCCATTCTTAAAATACTGGTTTACAAAAATGGTAGATACATGTGAAAGAAAAATAAGGCTGACAGTGTGTAAAAAGATTTTATTAAAAGAATATTTATCTGCAAGGATCACTAGTAATATGGAAGAATTACTCATATCATAAGATCAGGATGTACTTAATCAGGGCTTTCAAATAATCTTTTTTTTTTCATTCCTGGGAATTTTCAGTCGAGAGGAATCGGTAAAGTAAATATACTGTAGATTGTTAATTACATCAATGTAGAAACACCACTCGTTAAAAAAAATATAAATAGAGATTGTGTCTTATGAAAAGAATTAAGATTCTGATGTGGTAGGCTATGGATTTATCAAAATCACTTGGTTAGCAAAGTTGCTTTAAGGATTGCATAACAACATTCTTGCTTTGGATGCAGCATCTATATTGTTTTATGTTGCAGTTTGCATGAGCAGGTTAGAGGTTTCTAAGGGGAATTACTCTTAACTCTACACCATACCAAAGCAGCTAGGGATTCAAATTCTTAATCTTCATGTACAGTGAAGACTGAAGATGTTGTTTTTCTAGATAACTAAAATTTATATTGATTAAATTTAAATTTCATCATATATTAAGATTTGAGTTATTTATATCTGAATTTTTGAGGTGAGATATATTATTTTTATTTGTAGATTTTCTATAAAGTTTATTATAAATGAGTTCTTTTCGTTGTTTTAGAACCTCATATATTACTTTTCCGAAGACCGCTTCCAAACCAAAGTCACCAAGCAAATGAACACCCCAACCATCAAACTCACGGACACCACAATCAACAGATACATGGACACCACCACCCAACTCATGCACACCACAACCAAGAAACACATGGACACCACCATCAGAAACATGGACACCACAATCAACAAACACATGGACACCACCACCAACCAACAAATGGATAAAGACAATGCTATGCAATATTTAGTAGTGAGTACACAGGTTCTGGAAGACAATTGTTATGGAGAATCCACAATTACAGGAGACATTTGGAAAGAAATTCACTGTTGTTTTTATTGCAAGCTGTATGTAGGATAAGATGTCAAATTTGGAAATGACTTGTTTAATCCCATTTGTTTGTCTGTTACTTCATCATTTTCTATCTTTTTTACTCCATATGTATATGGTATGCATAAAATGATTGGAGGATGTTGATTCCTGTGTGTTGATTATACTGTGCATGTCGTAATGAGCGGAAATTCTTGCACATTTATATATTTTATTTGTACGACTTGATGCACAGAACATACTGTATTTCATGAAGTAAATTTAAAATGAAGTGTAAAAGTTGATGAAGTCATATACTTGTATGATTGTTACAAATGAATAATACAGCACATGGAGCCTTTTGGAAACATTTGATTGAAGCAAGAAACCAACAGATGTGAAAATTCTGTTTGCTGAATTCCAGACATATAAATCTGATGTTTATTATTTACATAGGTTAATTAATGTGCATTGCATCAGAGAAACCAGTGATATTTTATTTTGCTTTTGTACAGATTTGTTTTTCTGTGTAACTGATGTGAATGCTAGCATGAATGTTTTGTAAAAGCTCTATTTTTGATATGACTGTTTATGAACTGTTATGATTCAATCATTTGTCTTTAAAGCAAATCATTGTGCAATATTTGTGATCTGGAGTCTGAATTATGCGGTGGTCCTGAAAACATTACAGTATTGGCCAAATTGTATGATCAGTGCTTTCAGTGTGTTCATCAGTAAGAAACAAAAATTTATGTTAAAATTAATTTCCACAACTTATGATAATGTATTGCATACCATGTTTATTACGTAACAGTTTCTACTTGATATTTGGTGTCAAAATTTCCAGTATTATTTATGCAGTTGTAAAATTTGGGCTGTATTTGTCAAAATTCAGGTTTATAAATTCAGATAAAATAAATTTTGTTTTGTGTTAGTACACTGCTATTCTTTAATTACATCCCCTTAGATTAACCAGCTGGTCCATCTGCCTGTCAAAACTTTAATGTGATAACTTTAGTAAAAGGATTGAAATATTTAGGTCAAAACATGCTGTGTGTATACATAAATTGACATATTTAGCACAATCACTGGGCATGGAGTGGTTGTATAATTATGACTAGTCACTACCCACATCCGTGTCGTGTATTTAATTTATTAATCATTTATTAATGTTATTCATGAATTAGCCCATTGTTGTCTGAGCCAATATGAAGACAACTGACATTTGATTCACTGACGAAAGACAGGGGGCCCTTTATAACTTGTTTTTTTATACCCCCGCTCCATAGGAGAGGGGGGTATACTGTTTTACCCTTGTGTGTCTGTCTGTCCGTCCGTCTGTGTGTGTTCATAACAAATTTTGGTTGCAGTTTTCTCAGCAAGTACTCATTGCAGATGCTTGAAATTTTAGCACACTCTTTGTTTATGCATGTCATATGGTGGTATTCATTTTTATACGAATCTGATGTCAACTTCCTGTTTATCCGTGCATCTGTCTGTACCATACATAACACAAATTTTGGTCACAGTTTTCTCAGCACCTACTCATCACAGACACTTTGAATTTTAGCACCCTCTTTTTTTAGGCATGCCATATGTTGGGATTCATTTTCGTACAATCCGATGTCAACTTCCTGATTATCACTGTGTCTGTCCTTAACTGATCTTGTGTATTCACATCAGAGCAGGGGTATTATTAGAGAGCATCGGCTCACAGACTTCTTGTTTTAGCTCTTCTGAGTGAAAGGCTCTAAGAGCTAATGCTATGGCCATTTGTGCATAAACTTTTTAGAATATGGGCCATAACTCAAGAACCTCTTGGCCAATTATTGTCAAATTTGTCGCAGGGTATCCTTGGCCCAAGGGCTCCCATTTGTACTAAAACTAGGGTTGTGACCCTTAAACAAGGGGTGATAATCAGGTAAATAAAACCAGAAGTACTGGTTGCTAAAAAATCATCTCAAGAACCACTTTGCAGGTTATCACCAAACTTCATAAAAGGATGAGGATATGTTGTAGATTAAAAATTGTTCAAGACATCACCCTTGGGCAAAGGGCGTGGTCTCAAGGTCACTTCGAAGTTGACCAAAAATTACATTTTATTAAAACATTGATATTTTACTTACTATAAACACTAGGATCATTAAATCTTGTCAGTTGATGCATCTTAGGATGTCATATCGTTGACTCAAAAGTAGGTCACTGTGACCTGCTTTTTAATTTTGCAGGGATTTGTTTTCAAATTGATTTTGAGGCATATTTTGGACACTTTATAAGGCCTATGAACATCAAACTTTGTCGGTTAATGCATCTTGGGTCCTCGGAGAATGTCAACTAAAAAGTATGTCACCGTGACCTACTTTTGAAATTTTACTATATTTAAATATCTCAGGAACTTACTGGCTTAGAATCATCTAACTTTGTCAGTTGATGTGTCTTTGGAGAACTTCAACCAAAACGTAGGTCACCGTGACCAACTTTTGAAATTTTGGGGCTATATTTAAATATCTCTGGTACTAATTGGCTTAGAATCATCAAATTTTGTCAATTGATGCATCTTAGGTCCTCGAAGAATGTCAACCAAAAAGTAGGTCACTGTGACCTATTTTTGAAATTTTATGGCTATATTTAAATATTTCAGTTCCTTATTGGCTTAGAATCATTAAACTTTGTCAGTTGATGCATCTTGGGTCCTCGGAGAATGTCAACCAAAAGTAGGTCACCGTAACTCCTTTTGAAATTTTATGGCTATATTTAATTATCTCAGGTACTTATTGATTTAGAATCATCAAACTTTGTCAGTTCGTGCATCTTGGGTCTTCGGAAAGTAAGTCACTGTGACCTACTTTTGAAATTTTAAGCCTATATTTAAATATCTTGGGTACCGGTACTAATTGGATTAAAAAAGTCAAATTTTGTCAATTGATGCATCTTGGGTTCTCGTCACCATGACCTACTTTTGAAATTTTATGGCTGTATATCTCAGGTACTAATAGGATAAGAATCACCAAGCTTTGTCAATCGATACATCTCAGGTCTTCGTCAATTAAAAAGTAGGTCTCTGCAACCTACTTTTGAAATTTTATGGCTATATTTAAATATCTCATGTCTAAATTGGCTAAGATTCATCAAACTTTGTCAGTTGATGCATTTTGAATCTTCATAGAACATCAACTTAAAAGTAGGTCACTGTGACCTACTTTTGAAATTTTACAATTCTACAAAGATACCTAGTTTTATATATTGTTTAATTTTGACAAATGGCATTCCATGGTTACTGAAAACATAAATTTCTTTGAAATTCTTTTAAAATGCCTCCTAGTTTCAGTACATTTTCAATAAGACATACATAAGTAAACTTAACTTTGACATATAATTCTATTTATGGGTTTTTGACAAACTTTGTTGACTTGATCACTAAAAATAGAATTTTCTGTGAAATTCTTTCAAATTTGATTAATTAGACTTAGTACATAAGTAGTCTGTAGTAAGATACTTCTTTATTTTAAGTGGGGATATCTATTATATCAATAATTCATATTTGAATATTTGTTATAAGTACGTGTATTGGAATATTAGGTAAAATACAGTTGAACTGTGGTATCTTGAACACTGTTTTACCCTCGATATCTTGAATCCTTCGATATCTCGACCCTTTTTCTCGGTTCCATTGAGTTCGAGATAACAAGGTTTGACTGTACATACATGTAATGTGCTGACATACTTTGAATGTTAATCTTCCTACCCTATTCTCTTGACAGGTTTTCCTCAGTATTTGGAAGTAAATTGTGTATAGCTTTTTGCAGTGTACAATAAAGAATTCTTCATTTTATATTTAACAATGTTTGAAACAATGTATTGATTCTTAATTAGTGTATTCAACTGAAATGTAAATTAAAAATATTTTGAAGCTACAAATGAACTGATCATATCTTACTAAGACAAGATTGTTGTATTCTATTTAGATTTAAATATTTAACAATTATCTAGTACCTAATAAGAGTTTGTAAGACAATATAATCTTTGATACAATGTTTTGAAAACAAACAACCCTGTAGACAGTTTTTTTTTAGCTAATTTCCCAATAATGATTTTTAAAACTACATGTATACGTAAGACCAGGGATAATCAAGTAATTTATGTTTTATGAAATTGAGCCTGGTACATCACTGCTGACTGATTAGATTAAACATGTAATTCAGTGATCAATGAAATTTATTGTGATTTATTGGTACACTCTTCACATCCATTATATTGTTTAACAAAGATTTAATTTTGTTGTTCCTAATTCAAATCTATCCATTTGTATTACAAGATTTGTACCATCAAATTGAAAATCTTGGAAAAATCTCTAGAAACAATTTTGAGTATTAAACAACTCACTGAATATCCATTTCCTTTCCCCTTAAAGTATCCCTAAACATTTGATTCGTACAAATTAATTAAATTTTCTGAAATGCACAACTCAAAATGAAGTAATAAATTTAGTAGATCTCCATTCAGAAAGTACTGAAAAAAAGTTGACAGATTATATATAAAAGTGAGGTAAATCTGGCACTGTGCCAATTAAATCCTTGATAGTTATATCTTGTATGTTGAAAGAAACCTGCATGATTATTAGAATCTTAAATTCATATTTAAGGAATAACTGTCTTATTTTTTGGATTCATGATGTGATCAATCGAGTGGCTTGCGTGATAATTTGCATAAACGCCAAAGGCGTTTATGCATAAAATTATCACGCAAGCCAATCGGTTGATCATCATCATGAATCCAAAAAATCTGACAGTTATTCCTTATATTTACATGCTCCTGATTCTGCAAATTCCCATGCTAATAGCCCCGCTTCTGTCTCTATTTGTCATGCCCTGCACGTGATTTTTTTTAACCGTGCCTATCGATGAACCAGTAGATTTATATAGAAATAAAGTATTTTTACAATTTGTAATTTTATCTTGGACAAAGACATTGGAAATGTAAATATTAAGATATCAACTCATCGAATGAATATTCTTTGACTTTCCTAATTATAAGTACACACCATTACTGTAGAGTTGTAATAAGTCTTGTCAGAGACTTGTGGTTTAAGAAAAAGAAAATATCTGCAGAGAATATTGCTGTAATCTATTGAGTTCTAACTTAAAGCTAAGTTTTTCAGAATTTAGATTGATGTACAAATATTATTAATTGGGTAGGGTTTGACCGAAAGAACCAGAACCGTAACCCAAGCTGTGCTGTAAACAGCTCTATCAGGTGATCTAGTGGGTGATCAGGGGGGCCTGGTTCAAATCTTTGTCTGGTCCTTTACTTTTCTCCCCTTATATTGAATACTAACACTTGAACGTTTTACCCATACTATTTTTGAAGGTGATAAATTAGTTTACAAGATTGTGTAGAGAACATCCGTGCATATATTTATGCAAATATATTTAGGTAAATGTGCTAACAATAATTCTACATTTTTGTGAATATTGAAAGGTAATGAGCATAATATTTACTCAAGTAAATAAAGTCAGAAGGTATTCCAGTTTTATATCAAGTGACTTGATTAGAAATTTAAATTGCACATTTAAAATCCATTTAATTTTAAATGTGTGTACAGTTTAAAGTGTGTTCTTCAACCCTTTAAAATTTACTTGTACTACATAATTGATCTTATGTAGTAATATGAAGACAAATTAATTAATTTTCTTTGTCACCCAAGGTTGATATAAATCCTGGAGTTTTAAATGTACTACAGATAGCAATTTTGTGCCATTAAATTTAAGCATAAACAGATATGAATGATTTCACATTCCTTTCTCGGCAATAAAACACCTGAAGTGCATGTAATCAATAATGGTACTCTCACACAGTTTACGTATTCTGCTACACATATAATGGAGCCATTGAAAGATGTTTAAACATTCATGGATGACTGCATGAGGGAGGTGTACTGCATGCAAATGTGTAGAAATTGTTGTTACCATAGTGAAAAAAAAATGATGACAATTAGGAAAAGACAGCTTTTTGTGGACTTTTCACTTGTTAGATCAATAAAAACAAGAACTTTTGATTGGTGCTGATTTTTAACTGTTCAAACAAAGCTAGGTAGATATGTTTGGATATATTGACTTTGTCTGTTTAAACTCTGCTTATATATAGGGGAATGTTAATTATTCAGATTGCTAGAGCATGGAGTTGTATGCGTTTACCTTTCCATAAGTGATCTAGGGTATGTAAAAACTGAAAATTAATGTATAATACTAATGACATAATTTAAAAAATCTAAATAGCAAATAATCAAATTTTTTACATTGGTCCAATATGAAATGATAAGAAATAGCCGAATGTTGTGATTCTTATGTCGTCGTCCCTTCTTGACTGTCAGGTACAAAATAAATTTTAGGAATTTTGAAAAAAAGGTACCTTTTGGTTTGTCCAATGAAAGATGGAAATATCACTGTCACTTATATAGTGTCGTGCAGAAGTAAACAAGTGTAACCAATGAGGGAGAAAGACCAGGATTCAAACCCATGATGCCCTCTGAAGCTCTACTTATAACTGAGCTATCTGGCCACCTGTGATTGAAACTGCCTGACTGCCGCATTTGTCCCTCCTTGAAGGTCTTCACCCCCAGACACCAACCCATAAGACGTACTCTTCCCTGGCTGGTCCTTCACCAGGGCATGGTCACATTTATGTAAATGGCAAGGGAGAAAATTGTGATGGTTCATACCAGGATTTGAACCCGGACCTTTTGAATCACTAGTCAGGGAGATGTGCTCTTCCGAGCTATCTGGCCACTTGCGATTGAATTTGCCTGATGGCCACACAAGAAAAACAATGATCAAAGCAATGGTGTAGGAGTCTATACTCCAGTATTTAAAAAGTGGAAAGTGAGATTATATATTGTTCATCTAATTCAAAAATAGTTTCTACTTCAGCTTTAATCATAATGATTATTTCCAGTCTGTATCTGCCTTGCTGCTGAGAAACATGGAGGCCTTTATTTTGAATTGTGACTTCTCATGCATAAATGATGAGGTGGCAAATAACTCTGGAGAGGAGATCAACATGTTCAATACAGAGTTATCTTCCCTTGATTGTGATGGGACTCTGAGTATAGTTGAAGCGTTCCAGAGAAGAGTGTGTGTCACTGGTTTCCCAGCTATACGGACACCAGGGTTTGACCTGGCTGATCGCATCCTTAAGATCTTACTTAATGCATCAAGGTTTGATTCTGTGTAATTATATATAGTGAAAATTACAACATAATTCACTATTACTAACATTTAATAATTTTGTATTAATTAATTAAAAAAGGTTTTTATTTCAGTGAGAAAATAAAAGAAAATTTGTTGTCCTCAGAGACTCTGGAGGACAAACTCCTGGACTTTTATGTGGGTCTGTTAAAATCAGGACCAGGGAGCAGTCATTCTGAATTTCTCAAAACAATTACAAAAAACATAGAGTTCAAGGTAAAAATGTCTAGTTTTCAGTAATCTTGAATTAATGATATATTCTGTTAATGACAAATATTTTTATTATTATTACATGTATTATAATAATTATTTTGAAATTGCTAAATTTAATTTTTAAATAAAAAAGCAAAAACAAATATCATTTTTGAAAAAATTAGTGCTGTAAACTAACTTTTCTTTGCATGTGAGAAATATTCATGAGTTTTGTGACCTTCTAAAGCTCTAATATTTCTTGCCATGAACCAAATTTGCCATGTATTTATGTTAAGAGTTTTTCCACAGTAGTGAAAATTAGTAAGTTTCGGATTGGTTTCAAACTGACAGATCTCAAGTAAAAGATTCAATAATAATTGGTTTATAATAATGAAGAAATTATGGAATTAATACCTGGTTACTGATTTTAACTGGCAAATAAATGTTGAAATGTTTTAAATTTGGCATGTATATTTGGCAGAAACTTTTAACAAGTTGTAGTAGATTTGATTTAGCAATTTTTTGAATGCATTAGATATAAATATGTATTCTGCATTTAGCGATGCCGTTTTTTTTTGCACCCCTAAATGTAATATGTTAAGAGTAATTATAAGGATAGAAAAATCTAATGTAATCTCACTCTTTTTGAACAGGATTTGTATGGAGATAAACTAAAGAAGGTTGTCGAAGGATTTAAAGCCATTTTTTATGTGAACGAGGCAGATGTATCAATCTATAGTAACACAGTCCAACGGTTGTACCCAGAACAACTTGCTAACATGGTCATCAGGTACTTTGGTGTAGTGTTAACGTGTTAAGTTTTTTTTTTCTGCATAATACAATTTTTGTGAAAATGTTGAAAAATACTGATATTTTTAAATTGCGCAGTTCTATTTTTTGGTAATTCTCTCGGTAGTTTATGAAAAATATCTATGCAATCTCTATAGTAAACAACTGGTGACGATTTATGCGATTTTCTTTTTTGCAATCTAAAAATGCTCACAAAAAAAATGAAAATTGGATTATCGCAAAAAATGCCAGTTAAACGATATATTTGAATGTCTGTACTCAGACCAGCTTGTTACACTGTCATCAGGTACTTGGTGTAGTACAAATGTAATATAATAATACAAGTCCAACAGATGTACGAAGACCAGCAAACTTACATGGATATCAGGTACATGTACTTAACATGATCAACAGTATTTACTTAGACTCATTAAAATGGTCCTTTAGGCATTATATATACTTAAGTTAAATAGTAACACTTGTACCAAAAACATTAGCTGACATGGTCATCTGATACTTCTATAGGTATACCAGTGGTATATAGTATATGCCCAACACATGTTTTTGTGAAATTGTCAGAAAGTTATTGAAATTACTTGCCCATAGCCCTGTACAATGCAGCATAGTATTTGTGTCAATGAGTTCTAAAATATAAACCACAATCAACTGTTCCATTTTCTGTTTGATTTTATCTTTGCTTTTATGTGTACAGAGCATACGCATGAAGAGAATAAATGCATATAAACTAAAAATTGAACACTGGTCTCTATAAACATTATATTATGACATGTCCTGCATGCATATAACACGCAAAGAAATAAACTTAGAAAAAACTTCTTTGAACTTAAAGTACTGTATGAGCTAAATATTCTTTTACATGGGGGTTCGAAATTTTTGTATCAAATGAATTACAACATTACAAATTGTGTACAAGAATATATCAGATCAACAAAATGTTTTTAAATGCGTGTCTACGAGAAAACCATGCAAAATCCAAATTTTATTATGAAAGGCATTGTGATCATTTTGACTGATTTTATTGTTTCTGATTAGCATCATGTGTCCTCTAATAAATCCCAGTATCAAAACTGTCAGGTACCTTTGGGGATCCCTATTATAGCCCTACATTCTATTTTTAGCACATTTTATGAAAATATTTTGAAAAACACCCATAGATTAAGAGAAAAAAATTGCAGGAAAAAATGCACTTTTATTCAAATGTTACATATTAAATAAATTTAAAGGAAGTGCTCTAACTAGAAATATTGTATTTAATTTCATTTATCAACACTGATTCTGTAAAAGTGGGGTCTAAAATTAGATTAAATCAATGTGTTTAAAATACCACTATCTTTAGAATGCTGTAAAAACCCAAGAAACGCTTAAAACATTATAAATATCAGTTTAATTGCAAAAATCCTTCAAAATCAATATATAGTTAAAAGGAATTTGGTTGCAAATGGCATTATGCTAATTTAAAAATAGATTGAAGTTGGCTGAAACTATTAGAAAAATTATCTCCCTTAGTGGAACTCTCCTTATTTAAAGGAATTAAAAGTGTGATGTCTTAATGGCAGACGAAAAGATGAAGTGTTGATTTGAGGACAATATTATGATAAAAGATCTCTAGCTTTGTTGAAAGATTGTAAAATAGATTCAGTTGAATATACAAGGTATTTTAAATGCAGCACATAAAACATTTCTGTCCGTGAAACGCTTCTTATCGTTAACCATCTTGAACCATACAGCTGTTATGGGACTTGGACAGTCTAATTTCTGTAAACATACCTACATGTACATGTATGTGTCAAACACAGAAATATACTTGGTCTACACTGGAAAAGGAAAAAAGAACATGTTGTCACCCATACCTGATAGGGGAGACGCTATTATGCAAACCCGTTAACCGAGAGGGTCAAGCTGAATGAGGTTTTGCCTGTTGGAACTGGTAAGAACATTATGCAGTTTAAAAACTTAAGAAATTTTGCTAAACCATTGAAATTAACTTAATTTCTGACCTTAAAGTTTTCAGAGAGACACTGTACATGATATTTGGGTTGTCAATAAGAAATGAAACAGATTTATTAAAAAAAAAAAAAAAAAAGCATGTTGGGGGTTCCTCCCCTTAGTGAGGGTTGAGAGGGCAATACCAGAGTAATTGGGGAATTATGTCATTATAGGTGAAGAAATTCCCCAGTCCCACAGGTCTTAAGGACAACCCTATACATGTAAATATAATATCACAAAGTGATATCATAATTGGAAATATTTACTGACTTTGTGTTTATAGTTTGTGAAAACCTATTGATATCAAGTTTATACAACTTACATGTCCAATCTATAATGATTTATATCTATCAACTAATTTGATTCCTAATTGTTACAGGTATATGCAAAAGATGTATAGAAACACACTTTAAAAAATCAGTATGGAAGTAAAGCTGAAGGAAGAGCTTAAAGGTACATATACATATACTGTGTGTTTATAATTATATGTAAAAGTTTTATCAAATTATTTCTAAAATTTACTCAGTAACTTATACATCAAGTTTCACTTATGAAGCAAAATTACCTGCTTTTATTATGTTATAGCTGAAATACATGTAAAAAGTGAAAACTCTTGAGCAGCAGTCCACTTGCTAATTCTTGTTCTCATTTGAGTATATTTAGTACTCACATAAATTAAGGATTCTACAGTAAATGTTGATGAATGGCTTTTACACTCAATAGTTTCATAATATTGATCATTTCACATGTAAATGATCCGATCCTGTTTGGAAATAAAATTTCAATTGCATATTGTTTTGAATTAGTTCTAAAAATAAAATCTCAAGTGTGATTTCTGTTTCATTTTATGTGTACATAACTGGTTATAAGTATTCATGTAACTATGAGGATTATTAAGTATTGTATAGTTAATATTAAAATTAATGTTTATTCTTTAGCGGAAATGTGTTCCTATTGACAAGGCAACAATTGAATCAAACCAAACAGGTGATCACTTACTGTAATATAATATAATATTTTTAAGGTTCTACATAATAATAAAGATAATGTCAATGTTTAATATCTCAAAAAATAAAATTAACAAATATGTTTCATTTCCACACTGAAAAATATAACCAAGTGGACATTGTTCTCATGCAGTTCAATGACATGAACCAGAGTTTGTACATGTGGTTAACATTTTATAATGTATACATACAAGTTACTATAATCATGATAATATACATGTAACTGCTCATTCACATTACTGATAAGTAAAATAACAAAGAATAGTTTATGTGAAGTAAGGTCTAAATGGTGAAGATGCCTGAATATGTGACTGATAAACTGAAAAGTCCAGTCCATATAGTTCAAGTTTTGAGCTTTAAAATTATTTAATTATGATTCATTCAAAATGTTTCAGCATTAGCCTTTTTAGCATTAACTGTAATGTATAAGAGTATATATACTTCATGGCTTTTTCAATTATTTTACAGAGCAAAGAGTGGAGGAAAATGGAAGAAGTCATGGACTTAACAGAAAACATATGACCTAATACCTGCAGGTAACAGCCTCCCCCCCCCCCCCCCACCCCCCAAATAAATGTTTATTGGTCTGTCCATTGGTCATTCTGTCTGCACATGTATGTACTATAACACTTTAATTTGGGAACAATATCTCTTAAAGCCTTTGAGCTTTTGCAATATCATTTCATATCACAACTCCTTACAGCCTAGAGAAGATCCCTATTGGTTTGAGGTCAAAAGGTCAAGGTTGGAAATTCCTACAATACAAAAAAAACTCAAATAATAACTTTAGTTTCCCTTGAGCTTTTTCTGTTAAATTTTATATCATAATTCCCAATGACTTAAAGAAATCCCCTTTGATTTCAAAGTTAAAAGGTTTAGTTGAAAAATTCATATCTTGCAATAAATAATGTCCTGGTGATAACTTTGGTTCTCTTTGAGGTCTTGAATTTATTTCTTTAATAAAAAAAGACACCAATTGACTTTAAGGCCAAAAGCTGAAAGGTTAAGGTTGACCTTTTTCTTTTTCCATCTGCATTTTTTTTTTGGTCCAGTTCTTCCATCCTCATTTTTTTCCATAAGTGGGGGCCACAATTCTCTGAATTAGCTTGTTTTATATTTGGATCATGTGCAGGTTTGCATTAAACTCAATTAGCCATTTAAGGGATTTGGATCTCTTACAAAATAGGAAATAAAGGTGATTCAGGCTAGCATTGCCAAGGTCCCTTTGTTGTAAAATTGAAATTATTCCCTAATTCCCAATGTCATTTAGAACATCAAAATACATGCTCTTTTGCTTTTGGGTATAAATGAAAATTTACTGTACTAAAATGTCTTCTTGATTATCATAATTATTGCAATATCAATTATGAACTTTAATTCAAACATCAATTTGTCATTGCTTTTACAGATTTTGAATTCATATCATCATTGCATATAAATTGGTCAAAAGATGAAAGATCTCAGCATAAATTGTTCAATCATGCAAAGCATATCCTGTCAAATGGAGATTACCCTCCCTTAAAGTGTCAAGTATCTCAGAAATTGGACTATTTGCAATGCTGTTCAGGAATATTTTACAGTCAGTACATTTAGCAATAGGGCCTGTTGCACCATGCCAAGGTACAGAGTTGATGCTTCAAGCTGTCGACGGCATTCCAAAGGAAAGGGATGAAACTTTTTTTTAGCTTACCTGAGCCGAAGGCTCAAGTGAGCTTTTCTGATTGAAATATGTCCATTGTCTGTCGTCGTCGTTGTCGTGGTTGTAAACTTTTCACATTTTCATCTTCTTCTCAAGAACCACTGTGCCAATTTCAACCAAACTTTCCACAAAGTATCCTTGGGTAAAGGGAATTCAAGTTTGTTCAAATGAAGGGTCACACCTTCTTCCAAGGGGAGATAATCATGAATTTGTGAAAAATTGATGGCATCACCTAAAAACTTGTCAAGAACCACTGTGCTTGAAAATATGAAACTTATATGGAAGCAT